AAAAAAAAAAAAAGTAAAACTCTAGTTCTAATGGAAGTTACCCAACTTCTACAGTAAAGTGTACAACACAATGAAAATGCGTCAAGTATAAGTGAGACAAGGACCCATTTTAAGTCTAAATTTAAAGAGAGGAATGAAACAAAGTGTTACAGTTGTAAGCCTGACAGCAATTTGCATGGTAGATGGAACCAGAGAAAAGAGGAAGGGAAACAAGCTATACTATAGGGAAAAAATAATAAAGGTATGAAATAGGTTGATAAGAACAGCAAAAAAAAAGAAAAGGATGCAAAAGTAATTGCAAAAAAACTGAAGATACATGTGGACAAAAGGAATGAATAAACATCTAAAATGGTTAACTTGACATAACCAAGAGACCAATAACATCATTAACAGAAACAGGGGCATCAAGAGACGAGCAGTCTTGGTGAGGAAAAATGTTTTAGGATGAATTTAAATTCCTGACAAGGATGTAAAACTGCCTAACTGAATTAATAGGAAAAAGGATGCCAGTAAAGTCTAAAAATATGAAAAAATATATCCATCTAAATTACTGTTAAATGATAAAAATAGATTACAAAACTAAATTGTAACTGAAAAATCTATCTTTCAACAATAAGAATTCTTTGAAAAAAATCTCAAAAAGTTAACGTCAATATAGTAACGGTCATTCTACGATAGAGGGGGTGTAGGCCTGTATTACTACTTAAAGATATGTTTTTAAATATAAAATCTCCATATATTTAATAAAAATAAAAATTAAAATGCGCGACTGCAGCTCTGCAAAAACAGCAACTGGGAAATTGACTTGGAAGCCATTCATAGAAGATGACAAGATTTCAAGGTCAAGATCAAAAGACTAAACTCAAATTTGTAAGAAATTTGTCTTGCAAGTTACAAACACCAGTAAGGATCAGCAAATGATATCCTATACATAATCTTATTAATCTTCTACTATAAACTATCATATAGCTATAAAATCTAAAGCTGATTATTGCTTGATAAAACTGAAATTGTATTCTACACCTGTTTTACAAAGCAGAAATTTGTATCATAAATTTAACTTTGCACTGTTTTCCAGCTACTCTACACACCAGAATAGGAAGTGATAAAAAACAAAACAAAAAAACCCCACCCAAACAACAATAACGATGACAACAAAATAACCACTGCCTATTCTCCCTGTAGGATGACATTTCCATACAGAAAAGATAGCTGTGGACTATCTTTTATAACTTCTAAGAGTTCATTCAATGAATAAACTTTTAAATATAAACTGTTTATATTTAAAATGCAAAGTATTAAATTAAGAAGTATATTTGTGAGTGGAGATGTTCCCATAACTTTTCTCTTAGCAATGAAATTTAACACACTCAATCAAAAATTTTTAAAAAATGAATATTAATAAAGACTAACCAATAATTAACCAGGTAAAAACATTTTACATATTCAATGATCTTGTGAGACGTTAAAGTAAAGAACTACTTAACTAATCAGAAGGTAATTTTAATACTTCTTAAAAGCTTAAAGTTTTCTTGGGTCTTTTTTTAAAAAATGTTTTTCATTGATCAATTTTCAGTACCTGGTGTCTTGAATTTGCCCAATGTGAACCCCTTGTTCTTACAGTTACAACAGGAAAAAAAAGTACAAGATAAATGAGAAATTACAGCGAAGAAAACATAATAAAATTTTTAATACTTGATCTTTTAAAGACTTTGGCTTTATTGATTTAAGGAATGTGCAAATAAATTACAAAAAAGGGTTTTAGGAAAATGGCATAAGTTAGAAACTTCTACTTATGTGCTGTAAATTAAAACAAAACACGCAATAAAGACTATCTACATAATGTTACAACAACCACTGAATCTAATTAAGACGACACTGGTAAATCTGATAATTCTTGCAATGAGTGCAAGTTGGGAGGAAAGAAAAAGATCTTAAGAAGCCCATTATATGTACTTTCTCTTACTACCTAAACCAGTATTAATTTAAATGTAACAGAAATATTCCTCTTCCACCAAGTCAAAATGACTAGGTTCCTCCACATCAACAGCAATTCTAAATTTACCTTCGACAACTTTAATAAGATATATTGATATGAACCATTACCCAATTAAAATGATCTCAGACATATAATAGTTCTTTCAGAAGCAATTTCATACTAAAAATATATGAAATTCGAAAGTATTTTTCATCTTACATAATTACATTATCATTTTTAATGTGAAAAATTGCTTTCATTCTCCAAACCATTTTTTGAATCTGTAATTATACCTGTAAAAAGAACTTCAGCTAAACAGAAGTTTGCTGCACATTAGAGAACCTAAATTAACAGAAGAGAAAGAGCTAAACGCTATATTTCACTGGGTGCTACATCCTGAATTTCAACTTGTCCTGCAAAGTGCCAATCATTTCAATCCATCCAGTCAACTTTGTAAACAAAGGCCACAAGCCAAGTATATGAGAATTTAATTAAATAAAACTTAATATAGTCATCATTCACTTAAACAGGAAGCAGTGAAATGCCATTATTCACCTTTCTTTTAAAATGGCATCAATATTCATGAAATATAAACCCTTAAGTTTCATCACCCCAAACAAGTTTTTAATACGGTATTATTCAAAGCTACATCTTCCACATGCAATCAAAGCAAATCTCAGTTAGTCCAAGGCTTTTCATTGTAGATTTTTTAGTAATTCCGAGTTGCCCAATAAAAAAATGGAAAGAGACTATGTTGTCACCTATTACTATCGCTTAGAAATTGCTTTTTATGCAGAACTCTACGGGTTGTATTGCTTTTGGCCTGTTAAAGGCAACGCTACATTATCTCTGGATTGCCAATAGTTTCTCCTTATTTGGCTAACACTGCGAGATCCCCATCAGACTACAATAAAACTTTAACATGTACAAAGCATCCATTTTGAGAAAAGTTTGAGACCAGCCTTTTAAATTCCCACTCCCAAAAGAAAAATCAGAACTTGGTAACAGGCTTTGAAGAGTGCCCTGTTTTCTTCTTTTTCCTGCCCCTGTGCACACCCCAGAACCTAGAGCTCAAGGATCACTGACACTGCGGCAAATTCTTCGAGCACCGGACTCAATACGTTCGGGTCCAGGGGAACCCTTTGGGGTCGCTCCTTTAGACCACACGTTCCAATTCCTCTGTCGCTCAGACGATGCAGATCAACTAATTACACCCCGTTTTCCTCTCCCCAGTGACCAAGAGTAATAAAGGAGAAAACAGGAAATCGTTTGCTCAGGGCACTCGGCTGAGGGCTCTTGATTACTATTATTATCATCATCATTTGCAATCAAGTCCTAAAAAGTACAACGCATCCAATGCCCACCTACCAGCCGACTACGTCCAGCTGCCCAAAGCGCCCTCTTGTTTGTGTTTTTCGTCAGCGCCCCCTCCCAACATACCGGTGACACCGGTACCCCGACACAATCCAATACACAGACCCGGTCTCGACCCCACGTATCAGACACAGGTCCACAAATAGCCCTGGGCCCCAAGGGACCACAGTCCCCTTTTCCCTAAGCCCCGGAAATGAGCCGGTCGGTTCCCAACTCCAACAGCGACCGGTCTGAACGGGGCCCGGAGCCTTGCGCCTCCTCCGCCACTTCTCTCCCTCCCTCCTCGGGAGAAGCCGCCCCCTCGCCCCGCAGCAGGGAGTCTCCCGCCGCCCCCAGCCTCCGGGAGCCGGGAGCCGCGAGCCGCGAGGAGGCCTCGCCGCGCGGGCTACGAGGACCCCAGGCTCGGGAGACCCGGCGGCGGGGCGCACAGACCTGATGCAGGGCAGTGAGTCCGTCCACATTGGCGTAATTGATGTCGGCGCCGCGATGCAGCAGCTTGAGGACCTCGTCCGTGTCGCCGCTGGAACAGGCAGCCAGAAAGACGGCGCCATCGTCGAACTTCACCTTGGTCTTCTGGCGCTTCACCACGGGAGGCTCGAGGTCCGTCTCGGAGCCGATCCAGCGCTTCAGCTGCTCGTTCCGCTTCTGCTTCGCGTCCGCCATCTTCATCCCCTCTCCTGCCGCCGGGTCTTCTTATCGCGAGGGGGAAGGGGGAGGCGGCGAGGGAAGAGAGGGGAGGCAGGGGGTGTGTGACTGTTTCTATGAGTGCGGGCCTGAGGAGGGCTGGGAACCGGGAGGAGACGCTCGAGACTTCCAGTATCCCACAGAGCACTGGGGCGGCGCGCCCGGCCGAGTGCACCTCCCTTCCTACCACAGCAGCCCTCCCGCCCCCGGCGCGGCCACCCGTCACCGGCGG